CCCCTTTCCCCTTTCCTTGGATACTAACCCCCTGTTTCTGAAGGAAGGAGGGAGAATGGAGTGGAATAAAAATTTGGAGGGAAGGAAAAATGAGGGGGAGGAAAAATTTGGAGGGAGGAAAAATGTTGTTTTATGGAGAAAAGTGAAAAGGAAAAAGTATATTGGAAATTGTGATAGATATATTATTTTATTGATTATGAAATAATAAAATATTTTAATTATGTGTTGATATTATTATGAAATAATAAAATATTTTAATTATGTGTTGATATTATTTTTATTAAATTACGAATAGTTGATCAAATAATTTAATATGAATAGTTTTAAGAGGAATATAACACACTTTTACATCTCTCGTAACCGTTTTATGTATCACGTAAAACAACGTTAAACGTGATGTATCTCACCAATGTAGACCGGTTTGGTCTAGTCCAAATATTAATCCAGTCTATTTTCTTCAGCAAATATAAAATTCATGTGACCAAGTATACTCAATTTGATGTCATTTGGTTCAAACGTTGATTTGATTCGGTGTGGTCCGGACAATTTCACATCCGTGGTCATGGCCAATAAGACCAACCCATATTGGAAGCTTTCTTGAAAATGTTCAAAAATAATCAAACAAAATAATTAAGCTACAACATACAAATTAAAAAAAATTAGACAATGTTTTAATGTTGAGAATTAGAACAAAAAAAAAAGAACGAATGAATAAGGAGGGGGTCATAGAGGAAAATGGAAAATAGATGAGAATTGAGTAGGGCCTTAATGGTGGAATGCCATTTTCACTCCAATTTGAAGGGATGGCTGGTACAGTGCATTTTCCCTCTCATTTCCATTCCTCCCACACTGTTCACTTTTCCTAAATGGGGAAAAGTTTATTGGGAATTTATTCCCTTCCCATTTTTTTCCTTCCCTTGCTTTTCCTCTCTTAAAAAACACAGCGTTAGTAAATCTTCTAAATCCACTTCCACAAGCATCATACAAGCCATCCAATTCACCAGCAATAAGAACGCTTCCAGAATTCACCAAACCAGTACCTAATTTTTCCTTCTCCTCTTTATCAGCAAACAGATATGGTATCAAGGCCAATTGTTGTTTAAGATCCACCGGATCCAGCAGCTTCTCATCTAATTCACTCAATCTTCTACTCAAACAAGTAATAATGTTGGACATAAATTCCGGCTCACCTTCCACTAACCAAGAATCAGCTTTTCTCTCAACAGCATCAAGTGCTCTCTGCTTGGTGACATAAACCAGCAGCTTGAGTGTTGTGGATTCCCCAGTGCCCATAAGCTCACTACAGAAGACTGGAATTCTTCTGAAGTTTGAGCAGCTTCTCGCTTGGTCTGCATTCAACACGTATCTACATTCGTTCGGACATGCGCTAGCCTCCTCAAGCACATCCATATCTTCGTTCCCCTATCCTATAACATAACTTAAGCCTTTCAGCTTCTTGATAAGTGGTTTTGTTGTATCTTTCAAGCTCTGATAGTGCTGCAGACCATGGTCTGATATTTTCACAGCCTCATCATTTAAACCTTGAGCTTGCATTATGCACGCTACACCTGCGGTAAGATCCTGCAGGTAGCAATGACCTCAGGGATCATCATGAACCTCTAAAGACATTGAATGGCCAATGTCTCATAATTTCCTCCTGATCAAATATGAAAAACCACAGTAAAAAACGCCACTAAAAGACAACCCTTATAAGAAGAAAAGACAAGAAAAGCAAGTAGATAAAGAAACCTTACCTTGACCTTCAGTAGGAGCTTGCACTTGGGACAACAAGAATATGAGGAATGCAGCATACCACCCAGAAGGTGGTTGCACATCAGAGGGTTGAGAAGGCTGGGGATCCCCACCAGTACCTTCAGATACAATTGCAAGTTACTGTAGTTAAGGATGAATCGTGCGTGCAAGTAGAAGGGTAATAGCGAGTAGAGTTTCGAATTTACACGATAAAGAGATTGGATCAAAGACATAACAAACAAAATATCAAGTAACCAATTCGATATATGGGAAATATAAAATTCTCCAATTAGAAAGTAAATTCAGAGGAATCGAAGTCTTTTCCTCTTCCCTTTCCCCTTTCGCCTTTCCCTAAATACTAACCCTCTATTTCTAAATGAAGGAGGGAGAATGGAGGGGAAGGGAAAATTTGGAGGGATGGAAAATGTTGTTTTATAGAGAAAAGTGGATAGGAAAAAGTATATTGCGAAGTGTGATAGATATATTATTTTATTGATTATGAAATAATAAAATAGTTTAATTATGTGTTGATATTATTTTTATTAAATTACGAATAGTTGATCAAATAATTTAATATGAATAGTTTTACGAGGAATATAACACACTTTTACATCTCTCGTAACTGTTTTATGCATCGCGTAAAACAACGTTATATGTGATGTAAATCACCAATTTAGACCGGTTTGGTCTAGTCCAAATGTTAATCCAGTTCATTTTCTTCAGCAAATATAAAATTCATGTGACCAAGTATACTCAATTTGATGTCATTTGGTTCAAACGTTGATTTGATTCGGTGTGGTCCGGATAATTTCACATTCGTAGTCATGGCCAATAAAACCAACCCATATTTTAAGCTTTCATGAAAATGTTCAAAAATAATCATACAAAATAATTAAGCTACAACATACAAATTAAAAAAATTAGACATGGTTTTAATGTTGAGAATTAAATTACAAAAAAAAAATGAATGAATAAGGAGGGGGTCAGAAAGGACAAAAAATGGATGAGAATTGAGTGAGACCTTAGTAGTGTAATGCCATTTTCACTACAATTTGAAGGGATGGCTGGTACAGTGTATTGTCCCTCTCATTTCCATTCCTCCCACACTATTTCACTCTTCCTAGACAGGGGAAAGTTTATTGGAAATGTAATTTCCCTTCCCATTTTTTCCTTCCCTGGTTTTTCCTCTCTTAAAAGAGTCAAAATAAGATTAATCATGCTATCAATATGATCCGAGTTGGATCCAATACTCTTCATTTTAAATTTCTGCCTTTGGGCAACTCATACTTCTGCATCCTTCTTCTTGGTCGTATAAGAGAGCCAATTATTTGGTCCTGAGGCTGCTACTCTAAGCTCACAACCAAAAGAGTCAACCTTTGGCTTTGTCTCCATCTTACATTTAAGTTTAGAGTGGCTAATGTCCGAGTTTGTTACCCGACCGCCCCAACGAATAATAAGCCAAAACTTCTTAAATTTACTCATGTCTGCAATTTATAATAAGTAAATATTAGTTTAACTTGAATAAGATTAGTATAGTATAATTAGTACTTAGGGCTACCAAAATAATATCATCCAAACCCATAAACAACCGCAATTAACTAATCTACCATGAGTATACTAAACAAATTCATCTAAGTTCATAACTAATTAACATCAATCATACCATAATTAATCTAAATAAATTCACTAAATATATAAATATAATTATTAAAATATCAAAATCTAAACAATACATAATAATAACATACCGAAAATTTTACCGCAACAAACTAATCTAACATGAGAATACTAAACAAATTCATCTAAATTTATACCTAACTAACATCAATCATACCATAATTAATCTAAATAAATTCACTAAATACAAACATATAATTCTTAACACATCTAAATCTAAACAATACAGATTAATAACATTCCGAAAATTTTGAGTTTCTGTAACCGTAGTTGCTGAAAGCGAGCTAGGAAAGGGGTTTTTTGCGGGTATGATGAGTTGAATGTGGAAGATTTTGAGGCAGGAAAGTGAGGGATGGGTTATTTGTATGAAAATCAGATGGACTGATCACCGCAATTGACAGCAGCGGTGTACACATCATCACACTAGACAAAGACGGTGAATGCTAGGTCGTTGTGACCTAATTTTTGACCTACCAGGGCGGGAAAACGTGGTAAATAATCACCATTTTGAAAAAAAGCGGTGAGATGTTCACTGTTTGTGAGAATAGCCGTGATGCTTTCACTGTTGTGGACTATTGCAGTGATACATTCACCATTTTTTCCTACAGCGGTGATGGTATCACGGTTCTGGACGACAGCGGTGATTTCCATCACTGTCTTCGACAACGACAATGATGTACAAACATGTATACTTTGGAAAATACTTTTGTAACTACTGTTATTTGGAAGAAAAAAATTAATAACTAGTGTATTCTGAAATTTTTTTCTCTAATGACCAAGCACCCACAATCACACAAACACCAATAGCTAGGTGATTTGGTGAGATAAAAATTGCTAAACAAGTCAAGGTGCCTCTCAAAGTGAGTAGATTACTAAGACAAATTACTTTGCGATGTCGTTCCCGTAGTTAGTAAAATATGGTATAGGTATGTTAAATTATTAATACATGCTATGTTTATATTTTACTGTTATCTAATATTACATTTAAAAAAGCGGTAATAGTTTTCAAAATATTTGAAATTTGTAGAGTGCACAAATACAAGAATGACTAAATTATCAATTTAAATCCTTAAAATATGCATATAATAAAAGCGTTGCACATGTTCATTACACGAAACATCAAACAATCAAGAAAAAGATGAAACAACTCTACAATAATACCAAAACGAGAGGTCTAGATGCATTTAGTACATGTATCGAAGTGAAATTTATTTGCTAACCACTATTAACATATCTTTTTGTATTTCCATCTTCAAAATATTTGAAGTATCACAATCAGATCCACTTCCATTTTTAAACTAGTACAAGTAGCAGTATTGGGCTGGCACAACATTATCAATCGACCCAAATGAACCGTTTTAAGTAGTGAATCTATGAGTGCATGCACACTTCTTGTTGTTACCCAATACGTAGGAACAACACATATTTTCCTTTCGCTAATGATTCTTTTTTTCCCCCATATAATTCACAACCATTAAACCTTACCAACATTTCAGAGGACACAAAATGGCAATAAAAATTGGACTATAAATATGTTTTTGCAGTAAGCCAAACACAGCAACAACGTATAACACTACTCCGTACACTTGCGTTAGTAACACCCCTTTTGTTTGTGGAAACCATGAAGCTCACTTCAGTCCCGTCGATCGTCTTTCTCGTGCTGATCTCCATCGTCGTTCTTCATGGTAAGTGCGAAATTTAACATTTCGTTCGTTTTTAATGTTTGCCTCGGCACGGAATCTCTCGGTTCAAAGTTGAACGCTACAATCCTCGATCAAACATGATTAACAAATTTTTTGTTTTTTTGTTTTTAAATAGTTGACGCGGCAGAAGTTAATCAAGTGGCTCCGACGCCGATAGGGAAGAAATGCTCGACGCCGATCTACAACCGGTGTCAACAAGAGAAGTGCCACCAGGATTGTTTGAGACATTTTGGGCCTGGAACTGAAGGCTGGTGCTGGGTTGCTGAAGATCTCTGCTTTTGTGACCACTACTGTACCAAACCACAAGAGGCCTCAATACACTCCTAGGCCCTAGCTCCATCTCCATCCACAAATTGGCCTTTTTCGTTAGTGATATTATAATACTACCACACATATTGGAAAAAAATTATTGTCATTATTTATATTGGAAAAAAATTAGCTTGGAATTCAAAAAATGGTGAGAATGAGATGAGAGTTGAAATGAGTGAAAAAAATATATTTTTAATTATATTTATAAAAGTTCAGGGGTTGTCGACATTCTTGCATTAGTTCGTTTGCGGTCTACAATAAAGTTGTTGTCTCCGTCCAAATCGTGTTTATTAGTGTCAAAAAAATTTACTGTTTGTAACGAATGTCTCCTTCCAACAGAAAAATTCTGGCTATTTCCTGTATTTCGAAAGTCGTGGCTATATCTGTCACAAACGTGAAAGTTGTAGGTTATGAAAGTGTATTTTGCCTTAACAATTCAATCGATCTCTCTTTTATATCAATTTCATTGGATATTCGGTACTCAGTTCTCGATTATGTCCCCTTGCAACCCCGATTACATTATCGTATAACGTCTTGTAACATTTTTATGTTTGGAGAATGCCAATCTACTCTAAAGCAACACGGTACATACTACATATATACACATTACATGATGATTGAGCTTTGAACACCAAACCCTTTATTTCGCCGGCTTTATTACTACCTTCCTTCATCTCTTCCAAGACTTCAACGGAGATTGTTCTGTTTCAACAAAGTCACAAACAAGCTGTCCTCCAAATACACCTCCGCTCCCATCTTATACTCCTCCACTTTCCTCTGCAAACCCCTAACCTTCTCCACCGTCGCCGGGCTCCCCGCCGGAGCAATCAGCAGCTCCTCCACCTCAGCCCAGAAGCACGATTCCGGCGGCTCGTCGCTCCACGCCTTTCCCTCCACCTGCTCCTTCCACCTCTGCGTGCACTTGTACCGCTTCGGCCGCCCCCGCACCATGTAAGTCCCCGTGTCCTCGTTCTTGGCGTGGCGGTAGTAGTTCGATATGTCGAGCGGCTCGGCGATCAGCCTGAACCTCGTCCCAAGCTCGATCCACTCTCGATTCCCCTCGAAATAGTCCGGTAGCTCGTACCGTTTCAGCATCTCCACGATCTCGTCCCATATCCCGGCCAGCTCGAGCCTCGTCACGTTTGCTTCGAAGTCGCTCTTCTCCTCTGACAGCCTGAATGCGCGGTAGTAGGTCCTCTTCTGAACCGTGCACTTGTTCTTGTAGTTCTCCAGCTTCTGTATCTTCGTCTCGATGTCCTTCATCTTGTCGTTGATCGTGTCCTGGTTTCGATCCTTCTGCTTCTCCAGCTCCGCCGCTGCTCGGAGGCAGAGTCGAGCTCTCACACTCTGTGGACAGAAAACAGGGGGAAATCATCTCAATTTTAGCTGAAATGATGCAATTGAACACAAAATAACATTACATGTACCAAAATAACATTACCAGGCCGAGATCGTTCAGTGATGCGTTGATTGCTGCAGTCTCTGCAGTGGCAGAATCAGATGACAGAGGAATGCTGGCGAGGGAATCGCGATGATCATCCAGGGAAGTGACATTCTGCATGTTGTCCAGGCATTCTTTCAGCTCATTCACATAGTTCAAGTGATCCTTGAGGCTCCTCGCCGCAACTTCACCGACTTCATTGGGAGAGCTCAGCTGCGAGGAGTAAAACAGCACCTGCAGAACCGCATCAGGGTTCCTCACGATGACCAGCTTCCCATTCCCCGCGGCGAAAACGAAGGTCCCAAAAGGCCTATAAGGGCTGAGCTCGACGAAGCTCGAGACGGTCTCGAGGAGCAGGTTGGTGTTCCCCATGATCTTGCAGGCAGCGTGGCTCGCCACGGAGGACGAGCCTCTCATGACGTGGACGAAGAAGGATTGAGGATCGAATTCGGGAGGGAGTTGGTCCTTGGTGTTGGGGTTGAAGAACTTGAGGGCATCCTGGAGTTGCTGCTGCTGGTGGTTGGGTTGTAGCTGGGAGAGTGAGATTCTGGGGACGATGTCATATCTCATGACGAAGTGGATGAACTGCTTGGACCAATTTTCGCGGCGGACGGCGTGGTTCAGGAAGCGATCGCCGACCAAGGGAGAGCCGAATGTGATGCAGAGAGGGAGAATCGGTGATGATGCGTTCTTGTACTTCTCCAGGAACCATAGTGTTGCCAGGATGGCTGTTGGCCCTCCTGCTGAGTGACCTGTGAATATGACTTGCTTGCTTTCTCTTCTGGCCTTCTCCACCTGTTTGAGTAGAATGCAAAACACAGTTGCGGCGTCAGTTGAATACAATCTTTCCTCATTTTCCATGGATAAATAAGCAGAGCTCATATTTCCCTCCAACGTATACAACAACTGCTCAACTTCCTGCAGTTACATATTTGATATTTCCCAGTTCACAGATTTATGCTGCAAAGTTAGACCATCCTAATGGCATAGTAATTACGGGTGTTAATGTTACTTTTAGTCTTGTAATATGCCCAGTTTAACAAACACAACATTATGAGTTTCTACCAAATATGTGTTAGACGGTTTATTCATTTCTTCATCGTATGTTAAGTACGAGATTTGCTTATTCTTGATAAGCACGCAATGGACTCATAAGGTCAACTGCCAAATAACATATACACTTTCGTTTTACATGCACCTGCCGTTTTTGTTTCAATGGAGTCGGGAACAATTAATATGATAGATGGACAAAAGGAAAATTTTCGATCTATGTGGAATGTAAGTCATCAACGACATATTCGGTGAGCACGGTGCAACCCAACTATGACGTATTTGGATAACACCTTTGGTGGAGGAACTTTAAGATGAATGAACAACAAAATTCATCAACTAAGTTAACCCTAGTTTGTTCGTTAAGCCTAAACCCTAGAAGTTTTAACCATTTCCACGATTTGTCAAATTGTAAGGACTAAATCATCTAAACAGAAAAATTTAAAGGACTAAAAGAGAAGGTCTCTACGGTCTGATCTGATTCACTCTTCAAGAAAAATCCCCAATTCCCAATTCACAAGTGGCAGCAAACTAAAGGTAAGACGGTCGAGATCGGGACAATTACCTCGGCGACGAACTGCGGTGCGGCCAAAAGAGCTTTGAATCTACGCAAGAAGGCTTCGTTGACGGCGCCGATCTCCCTGAGACCGATGTACAAGATCGAAGGGAAAAGCTGCAGATCCACTTCGACTTCCCCAAACGGCGCCTTGCTGATCCAATCGCTGGCGTTCCAACTTCCAGGGAAGCCGATAATAACTTCCGACGAGCGGAGCTTCTCCGTCACGAACAGCTGCTTCGCCGGCGACTTGTGGGCTTTCATAGCCAGCGAGCAGGCTTTCTTCACCACCTCCTCCCTGACCTTCAGATTCTCCTCCAGATTCACGCTCCCCATCTTTCCTCCTCCTCCTTTGCCCGCCGCCGGCGTCGACAATTCCTCCTCCTCCTTTCTCCTCTTTCCCCCTCCGTCTGGCTTTTGGCGCGAGGATGTGAATGAAAAGAAACGAAGGCATCGATTGAAGCAAGTAACATCTTCATCGTTGTTATTATAATAATCACGATTATTCTCTTTATTTTTATTTTCAGTCATTTGCAGTTGACTTGACTTTTGAATTTATTAATTAGGGAAAGAAAGAAAAAAAAAAAGAGAAGAAGGAAATAGGCCGGTTGTTTCGAGTTTCGACTTCGTTTCCGCGAAAGTTCCTGCTGCTGCCGAGTGACTTTTGTCGGTATATTTAATTAGCTTCCACGGCGGAGTTTTGGACGGGGATTCGCCGGCGATGGCGGTGAAATGAACTTCCGGTGAGGTGGCGGCGGCCGCCGTCCGTTTCTGGGTTTTTTAGGGAGTTGCTATCGGTGGCATGGTAAGTTAATATATATATGCTTGCGTGACTTCCCCTGTTTTGGATGGTGGACAAGGCAGGGAGAAAATGGTTCTTTGCGTAATTCCCCATCGGCCGATGAGGAATATTTTCAGTTGTTCGTTTAGCTTTGATTCCATCCTTTATTATACACGACACTCATGCCTTGCCTGGCATTGATCGCGATCAACTTTAGAAGTTCCAAATTCAGTGTTTTTGTTTTTCCTCCAAAAGAAGAATATCTTAGCAAAATTGAGTTGATATTGCCCTTATGGAAAATGAAGCATTTGGCGCCATTTTAGCTTTTCTGAACTTGGGATCCAACTTCACTTCTGACTTCCAATAGTCGGCTTTATGTATCTCCAATTCGTACAAGGTGCTCCACTAGAGTGATTTGCATTGAAAAATACACAAAATACTATCCAAAAGGCACCAAAAGTATAAAAAAAAAAAAAAACATCACTAGAAAGTAGAAACTGCACCTTTGAGTAATTCCCAACAAAATGCAAGTCAATATGGCAACAAATATACATAAAATCATGTAAACCTGCCATGAAATGAGGGTACAAAATAGTACATTTACGTGCCATCAACAAACATTTTTTTTCCCTCCCTCTTTTCCAACTCGACCTAGGATAGTTTATTGGTTGCAAGTCACGAGAAAACTTCTAGAATAACAGCGGGATCCACGGCGTGCTGGAGCATCGTTCTTTATTTATTGTCCGTTTTGGGCTGAAACTTGGTCCAGTGCTCCTCTTGGTTTTTGGGCTTCTGTAAAAATTTGGGCTTCAATGGATGAACTAGCCTGGGTGGTTGGCTAGGGTCGTTGCTAGACTTACTACTCTAGGTCTGGGGCCTTGACTTTTGTTTCATTTTGATCCATAATCACTCCGTCTCCATGAATCGGTACAGGCCAATACTACAGTGCCGCTATAAAAAGTGTGGCACTCATTTTGTTTAATCCGAACCAAAAACCGATTACCATCAGACCTACCCAAACAGACGGAACAGACTTAGTGTTGCATTTGTTGTTACGAGGGAAAAAAAGGAAACCTAGAACAGAATCATTTCGTATTCCTCGCTCTTCTCCACCGGACTGTCAACCCCAGTTTCAGCGAACTTCACTGTAATTGATCCAGTCTCAAGTCTCTACCATATGCCTCCATTCATCTCCTTCACCATCTTCCTCCTCCTACGTTTATTGTTGAAACAAAAACGAAAGAATCTTTGCCCCTACTGACCCTGTCTCCGTCGAACCGCCACCTTACCGGACGATCACAATCCACAATAAAAGGGCGCTCCCTTCTGCCCCCTCTCTGTTGGAATCGTCGAAATAGAATATGTTCTATGGGAGTGCATAGAGAGTTTCCCCAACGAATTCAGAGGGTTCCAAGTAATTCGATTCGTTTGTACTTTGATTCGTATGTTCTATGGGAGAATAATTGAATAAGAACAATGCTTGATGAAGTGACATTAAATGGTAGCGTCTGGTTCAGCCTAAGACCTTCACTGACAAGCATGTCCCGCGGGACGCACCCATCCTTCTTCTACACATCGACCATGAATGTCGATGGTTGCACTACCATCCACTAGGTGGATGCTATGATTCGGAGCACAAGGTATGAGCTGCGGTTCAAGGCATCAAGGTAGAGCTTGTGAGAGCTCGAGTTGCAAAGTTTTAAATGTTTTAGGATATTTGCAGATCATTCTTCTCAGCCTGAGACCATGGAGCTAGTACAGTGGACTGCATCATTAGCAGCTGCAGGTTCGTAAGGCTTCTTAGCAGTTGGCTAAAAGATTAACATGATACTCCTACTGCTACTGCAGTTGGATTGGGAGATGGGGGCAAAGAAACAAACAGCTGGCAATGATCAAGAGATGGAGGGAAGAATTTGACATTTTGTCATCCTAATTTTATACTTTTACAGTTGCTTTAGAGTAGATGTAAATGTAAGGGCCACACATATCATTTACTGTCTCTCTTATATGTGCCGCCTGTGGTGGGAATGAAATTGGATTTGTGAGAGAGGAGAGAGCTTTTCCTGGACAATGTAAAAAAAGCTTTCTGTTTGAATTCATGTTGTAATCTAACTTCATTTAGTATTACACATTTCATGTAAGTTTGTTTGTGCATTCTTGCCTTTTATGTTTGTCAAGTTGATGGAGATTCGGGTGGCAGTAGTAGTGTTCAGTATGTCAGACATGCAGTAGATGGTTTGTTACCAAATTACAGAGTGAACCCAGTTAGACTTGTTACCGGTTACCCCAACAGAGTTACATTAAGTCAGTTAGCAAGTAGTTGTGGCCTGTGGGAGGCTGTAATGTAGCAATTCGCAACACTACACATAAATGAGCAGACATACAGATTGAGCCTATTTCTTTGATTCCTTTTCCTCCACATTGCATACAATCTTCTGCCTTGAGTGAAACCCATCAGCTACATATCTGACTGTACAATCAACAGCTTATGCCAATCAGCCTGCCCAGCAGGAACAAATCAAGAGTCTGTTGATTCTTCGAAGTTCAGGAGTTGCATGACTATTGATACTGATGGTGGGAAGTTACTATTCGAGGTGAAGATCTGTAACTGTGTTAAAATAGAGAGAAACGGAATATGGCTTTGTACTAATTTGCTATGAATTTATTAGATGCAAGCATCAGGTGGCCTTCCTGACCTAGAAACTTCAAATGTCCTCTCTAAATGAACTATTGCATCAGGTAAGTTTATATCCATGCCTTGGATTTTTTGTCGCTATGCTTCAAAAGAAAATCTTAATTAATTCTCATGCGATAAAGAAATTGGCACAGGAAAACCTTACAATGATTTCCTTAAGAGCTTAAGGATTGAGTCTTTTCATACAGGGGAATGATGAGTTGCTAGGAATAAAACACAGTGTTATACCAGGAGCAACAAAATGAAAAATGTATTAAGAAAACAACGAGGCTGAAACTAGGAGACAGAAAAAACAATCATGTTGATATATTGTTTTCCTTTCCATTTACTCTTATACCATTGATACAACCATCATTCATCCAAAAGAGAACAAAACTGTTACAGCCCCATTAAACTTCATTGGAAGCTTCTAGGCGCACAAGACCAGCTAGGCAAAACCATCCTATCGCACTACTCGTACTAAGAACAGTGTAATCAACCTCCCCAACCAGGTGTGCTTCAACCCCCAGTAGCAAAAACCTTGTTGTTCTAAACTCTCTCTCAACTAGACTTGTTGCACATAACCTGCACGAAATTGAGAGAAAACCCTATTAGCAATTAAGCATAGTTGACATGACAGGTAAAGTATGGTTATTGTTCCACAAGAATTAAATCTGCCACCTTAAGGAAGGGACACCACCAATTCTGATTGTGATTTATCACTTACAGGAGGACTTGAACAATGAACGAGAAGCCTCGTCCCGCTTGCGTCTGGTGAATGAAGCCCCTTACGGTGAAGGCAAGCACAAGCATGTGTTAATTTCATTCTCTTAAGTGACCAATTTTAACACACAAGAAAATAACTAATAGAGGATTTCTTATGTAAAAGCAACTGTATCAGATATGGACATGCTTGTTTTTGAATAAACTAATCCCAGGGAGGTAGGAATTAGTGATTACACTGGGGAGAATGGAGATGGTACATCACTGGTGTAAAACAAAGGCGACAAAGGGAGTGGGGATCTTCATGTCAAATAGGCAATGGGTAGGGTGTTTTCAGATATAAGAAGAGTAGTTATGTTGGCAAGTGTAAGAAAATGGGTAGTAAGCTTTTCATGTATTTCAAATTCAATTCATTATGAGGAGCAGCCTCCCATCAATTTCAAATGCAATTGAAAGAGGGAAGGGGAGAACAACAACAAAATAGGGACAAAACATCAGTTCCCATGCTATTTGATTCCAAGACAACAAATGAACTACAAAATACGAGTCTCCCAATCCCTAACTTACAACTTCAAAGCAAAAACTGGAACTGAAACAACCGACATGATTCTCCTACCTCCTCTAATATACATTAATAGAAATTACCTCAAAGCCTTTTCATTGGTGGAGAAATTAAGTCAACGCCTTGTGGAACTTGGTTTTGACGATTCCAACAGAGATTATTCAAAGCGAGGCGGACGACGCAGAGGGAGGCGATTCTCTTCTTCTTTGATTTGCGATATTCTGGTACTTTGGCGGCGATGCTATTACATGGAGACAGAAGCAGAGGAACACGAGGGATTCATTTGCCTCTGTCATACAGAATCAATGTAGGAGGGAGTGAGGGGTTTCAATCGATAGGGAGACCGGGGATATGTGATCTACTATGGATAAGTCGCCGAGAGTGATTATGTAGAGGCCGGCGGTGAGGTAGATCGATGAATTGTGGTTCTGGTTTGTTTGGTTTCGATCCTTTCTATGTTTTCTGATTCTCCTGAAAAAGCAATTATATGATTTTTAATTTAATTAATCAGAAAAACGAAAACAAAGCATTGAACGGAGAATCTTACGCCGTTACTTTGGGCCAAGCCGTTTGGGCCATTCTAACGGGTCACATGAGTTTGGTTGGGTTTAATTAAGCAAAATCAATGCTCTCCACGTGGACCAATGAAAAGCCGCGTCACCGGTACCGCACTTTTTACAGCGGCTCTGTAGTATTGGCCATCGGTACAAGTTCGCTTGTATTTGAAAATGATCAAAACCTACCCATAAGAACATAAAAGGTACAAAAAACACGGTGCATGCAACTTTCAACCATTACGGCATTACCAGGCATATTCGGGTGAAACTACTTTCATGATAAGACGATGATAGCCAACCAATACTCGCCATGTTTACGACAGATTCTTATAGGTGACCTCCACTAGAAGCCACACTCAACATGCTCGTACAAGTAGGGGTGTTCGAACGAATTGATTATCGTGGTAATCATATTAACTGTTAGTGTTCGGTTAATTTGGTTTGGTTAATTTTGATAATTGGTTTGGTTTAGTTAAACAATTTAGCTTATTCGATTTAGGTGGTTTGGTTTGGTTTGGTTTCAACACTGCTAAGTGCTAACCACTGAAACCAATTAACCAATTAATGATACACCTAAGATACAAATTTATTTATACTCCCATGCAACCAACCAAACCAAACTTTCGTGATTCCCTATTTTATTTTCATGTGCACAACAAACCAAAGCATTATGGGTCAAAAATTAAATGGGTCTGCCTATTTACTAAACCAAAACATTTTGGACAACTACTAGACT